TGTGACGTGCCCCCCTCCCTGTGACCCCGCAGTGAAGGTGAAGAAGCCGATCCAGACCAAGTTCCGCATGCCCGTCTTTAACTGGGTGGCCCTGAAGCCGAGCCAGATCGACGGCACCGTCTTCACCGAGCTCAACGATGAGAAGGTGCTGCAGGTGAGCGCACGGGACAAGGGGCTGGGCACACGGTGCCTGGGGGGCTCAGTACCCCGAGGCTGCCCCGTGCCCACCCTGCACCCACCCGCAGTGTCACGGGGCTACAGGAGGAGCTGGAGGTCAGGAAAACTCCTTAGCACCATGGAGAGGGACATGGGATGGGCGTGCCGCTTCTCTCACCCTGTCCTTGTCCCTTTGCTCCATCGGCATCCTCACATCCTGTCCTTTTCTTCTTCCTCATCTCCATCCTCTGATCCTCTCACCCCCTCCTTACCCCTCCCTGTCCCCTTGTTCCATCCTCATCCCCTTGCTTCATCTTGATCCTCACTCCTCACCCTCACGGTGCTCTGGCCCCGTCCTCACCCAGATGTCCTGTGCTACCTCCCCACCATGCCCACAGCCCTGTGTCCCCACAGGAGCTGGACATGAGCGACTTTGAGGAGCAGTTTAAGACCAAGGCACAGGGCCCTGCCCTGGACATCAGTGCCCTCAAGAGCAAGGCCACGCAGAAGGCCCCCAGCAAGGTGACCCTCATGGAGTCCAACCGTGCCAAGAACTTGGCCATCACCCTGCGCAAGGGCGGCCGCAGTGTCCAGGACATCTGCACGGCCATCGAGACGTGAGTGCTCCCCCCGGGAGGGATGAGGTCGGGCACAGCCCAGCAGGACCAAGGGCTTGGGGTGGTGGAGGGTGAGATGGGATGCAGGGATTGGTATGGGGATGCAGAGAGATGGAGGGATGGAGGGATTAGAGGTGGGGAGGTGGAAAGATGCAGGAATGAGATGAGACAAAGGGCCAGAGACAGAGAGAGAGACAGACTCTCCAGACACTGTGTCACCAGTTATGGGGATGAAGGAAGGCAGGAACCAGATATGAAAAGAAGGGATGTGGGGACCAAAGACAGAGAGATGGAGGGATCCATATGGAGAGATAGAGAGATGCAGGGTCCAGGTGTCCAGAAAGGTGGAGTGATGTGGGAACCAGCTGTGGGTGTGGAGGGATGATGGAACCAGCCGGGGTTGACAGGGGGGCTTCGAGACCCACGGCAGGGCCTGACAGTGCCAGGGGTGTCCCCTCCCCTCAGGTACGACCAGCAAGCCCTGAGCCTCGACTTCCTGGAGCTGCTGCTGCGCTTCCTGCCCACCGAGTACGAGCGGAACCTGATCGGGAAGTTTGAGCGGGACCAGCAGCCGCCAGAGGAGCTCTCAGATGAGGACCGGTTCATGATCTGCTTCAGCAAGATCCCGCGCCTGGCCGAGCGCATGAACGTCATGATCTTCCTGGGCAGCTTCGGCGACACGGCCCAGCTGCTGATGCCGGTGTGCGCCGGGGACGGGCGGGCCGGGGGCTGCGCGGTGACGCTCCCACGGTGACACTCACACCCTTCCCTCCCTCCCTCCCACAGCAACTCAACGCCATCA